ATAGAGAGGTGCCATCTGGGCATCTGCACGTATGTGAGCATGGCATGAGACCTACCTGTGGTGAGGCTGTGCCTGGGTGGCTGCAGACAGTATATGGAAACCCTTAGTACTTTCCACTCAATTTTGCCATAAAACTAAAACTGCTCTAAAAAATGAAGTCTATCAATAATGATAATTATAAAGAACAATAGGTAAAACCTAAGCAAGTCTGAATAGAGAATAGACTTTAATTAATAATAGTCTATCAATATTTTTTTCATTAGTTGGGACAAACTTACCATAGAAATTAAAGAGGTTAATAGGGAACCTAGGTAAAAGGTGGAGTACAGAGTTATCTTTGCAAGTTCTCTGTAAACCTAAAACCACCCCAAAATAAAAGAAAAAGTTGTAAGAAGGAGAGCTTTAGAGAGACAGGGAGAAAGGGAGGATTTTTACAATTCACCAATGTATGGGTGCATTGCCTTGGTTATAACAAACTAAGAGAAGTGGCCTCCACATAATTCTTCTCTGTTTGTGACACTGTGCTTGGTTCCCCATAAGCTTCCTCATTTGTCCCACGAGAATCCCGGGCAAACTTTCCTCCTGGGGTTCTTGTGAAATAGAAGCCAATGTGGGATCTCCAGGAGTTAGGGATCCCTCATCCTGGGAGTGTGGGGAGGTGGTGGAGGCTGTGGCAGCCAGAACCTCCCATGAGCTGCCTTGACCAGGGCCATAAATCCCCTGTAGTTTTCCATGGGCACTGGAAAAGTTTGTCATTCTCTAAGTATATTGAGATGTGAAGAAACACTGGGGGCACAGGCATAGCACAGTGCCCAGCACACTGTGAGCCTCACTGGGAGGGACCCTGCATTGCTCCCCACAGACACCCATGAAGGCCTGGGCAGATGGGGAGTAGCAGGGCGATGACACCATCACAGAGCAGGTGGCCTGTGAGCTGGGCCTTGAGGGATGAGGTGGTGTTTACAGACACAGCGGGACTGGAAGTGCACTCCAAGTAAAGGGAACAGCAGAAGATAGGGCAGGAAGACGGCGAATGCCCAGAGTATTTAGAAATGATGAGTGAGGGCCGGCCCGGCGGCGCACTGCTATAGTGCGCCGCTTGGCAAGCGCGGTGGCGCTCCCGCCGAGGGTTCGGATCCCACATACAGACCGGTTCCCGCTCACTGGCTGAGCGAGGCGTGGGAGCAACACCGAGGGTTGTGATCCCGTTGCTGGTCCCGGTCTGGTACGGGGGCGACACTGAGGGTTGCGATCCGTTGCCGGACACGGAAAAAGACAAAAAGGAAAAAAAAAAAAAAAAAAAGAAATGATGAGTGAGTGTTTCAGTGTGGCAGATTGCATTGTGTGTATGTGTGTGCTGTGCGTCTGTGTGTGTGTGTCTCTCTCTCTGTGTCTATTTGTGTTTGTCGTTATTTGTGTGTCTGTGTATATCTGTCAGTATGTGACGTGCCTGTGTGTGTTTGTAGGTGTGCGTGTGTGTCTGTGTATATTCTGTGTTTCTCTGGGTGTGTGTGTGTGTGAACCTGGAAATGAGGGTGGAATGACAGCATGAGCAGGCAGGAAAGTGCTGCACAGCCTGGCCTGACCTTGTGTCCACCGTGGAGAAGGGAAGGATCCAGGCAGAAGTTGGGACGGGAGTCACAGGAAGGGGAAGGTCCATGGAATACCAGTGGGAAGTGTGTCGTGTTACCCGACAAATCCTAGGAAAGACCGTCTCAGAAATTTTCTGGAGTCCATGTGATTCTTGGTAATTAAGTTTAGGGTTCTGATACACGATCTTCCTTCAGAAAGAATTTCCCTGAAGATCAAGTAAAATTTTTCAGTGTGCAGGAGACCACGCTGATTGATATCTCCCTGTCGAGCAAAGCAGCTTTGTCCCAAGTATGTCCAAATGATCCCATGTAATACCACATTCAGAATGCTTGTTTGTGGAGGTCCTGGCTTCATGGGGTGGTTGTAAGGTCCAATAAGCATGGATGCCAGGTGAGGCAATTTTACAAAAGGCTTAGAGTTTTGGAAATGTCTACACCTGGTGGTTCTCATGCAGCGACTGTTTAAACTACTGAAAGAACCACTCAGCATTCATAGCTCTGTAACCATGGAATTTTGCACTGCTGGATTGGGTCAGGTGTGCAATAAAGTCAGTTACAACTATGGACTATACTGTTGAGCCACAGCACTACTTTTAGAATATGTGGATTAAATGCCAACCAATTTCATTCGAACACATCTGGATTTGGGAGCATCTTTTAAGAAATCAGAAAACTCAGTACTGAACCTCACACATATTCTTAATTGGACCTGACTGTTGACCTTTAAAGAGGCAGAAACTCTGCAGGTTGCCACAGGCCCCAACACTCCGTAATGTCTATTCCAAAGTCCAAGTCAGTTGCCATCAATTATCGCGCTTGTACTACTGTGGTTTGCTTTATTTTATGTCAATAGCTCATGCCATTAAAAAATTTAGTCTGCAAATGAAGTATGGTTATTGTCCGTACACTGTACATAAGCAAATAGAAGTTCAGAGAGGTGAAGAGGTTTGGGCTTCATCACAAAGCTAAAAAATGCTGAAGCCAGGATTTTACCTAAACCATGCTGGCATTAGAATCTGCCTGTAGCAGGCTGACCAGAGTGAGCTCCCTGCATGTGACCTGACCTTTTCCAACAGAAGTCCCTCTATCAGAAATTCCCCCTTTACCAGCCTATGAAATCCTCTGTTCATTCACTAATTTCAGTGCCTATGAAATCCTCTGTTCATTCACTAAGTACAGATGTATAAGAATAGACAGAAAAGCAAATGGACTCAGTGTTTGGCAGCGGTAATTATTGCAGTAATTGCTTTTTTACTTTCCCGTGGAGACCACTGCTGCGGACTTCACACATCATGGATGGTGTTTGCAAGGCTGAGGTTTCATTCTATCCTGGCTCATGGGTGGACAGGGAAGCTCTCAGAGGAACCAGGTCTAATGGCACAGATGCAACCCCCTTATCACAGGATTCCACACAATACTTTCCCTGCAGGATCTGGCTCGCCCAAAGCTCATAGCTGGGAGGAATTGTGAGTAGAGATTGACAGGTGTGTGTGCCATAAAAGCCCTGGGGGCTCAGGCTCCTGCATATGTAGCCTGCCCTGCCTTGCGCCACAGCTGAGACAGCTGCAAGTCAGCTTGCTCACACTTGCACCTGGGATCTCACTGGGTCTGTGTGCACATAACAAGGTAAGAGCCTCCCCCTCCTAAAAGCTTCATTACCCTACCCTGCTTCTCATGCCATCCAAGGACTTGGGATTTCTTGGGTCTGGATCCCATTGTCATGGACAAAACATGGCTGAGTCCCATTGCTATGGGAAGTGATGGGGTCTTCGTCTGGCACATGCAGCCTCCTGTCCCACCTTTTATTGCTTTAGTCCACACTCCTGTCACTCTCTTTCCCTTTCTCAGTTGTAGGGGGTGGCAAATTCTCTCTTTCCCTTTCTCAATCCTAGGGGTGGCCAAATTTCCAGGGTGGAAATGAGATCAGGCCAATTCCCGAGGAAAGTCTTTTTTCATAGAAAATTTTGCTTTTTCTTTAAATGTAGCTCGGATACTGTGAATCATCTAATCATCATGAGCTATGCCAACTACACTGCCATAGTTCTTAGCTACATTTGTTATTTCTTGCCGAAATGTTTTCTGAAGGGCAGAGTAAGGTAAAAAGAAGGAAATGATCAATGAGCAATGATAGAGAACAGAGAGATATGGTCTGGCTGCACACACCAACTTTGTGACTTGTCTACTAAGGGTCTGATCATTAATTGTCACAGCTGTTACCTGGGGTGGCATATCAATAGCTACCTGGTAGGGCTTATGTGTGGATTTAAGGAGGTGAGAATCAAATGCTGGGCCAGTGCTTTGCACATAGTAAGTGTCAAATAGAAATCGACTTTTCCCCTCTCTTAAAGCATGGTTTTACTGTCCACCTGAAAAAATAAATGCAGCTATTTAATGTGGCATTGAATGTCATACTACTGATTCACTGATTTCCTTCTGAAAGGATTGATTAAGAGCTTTCTGTATGCCCAGCACTGTACCACCACAGGGCTCCAGAAATCAATTAGGCATGATTCTGCCTTCAATAATTAGTATAATTTCTCTGGTTGAAATTCACCCCCATACCCCCAGTTCACTGTGACCAGTCAAATCCGATGACATCATCACCTTCATGCCTCTCAGTGGTTCTCACTTCCTGTAACAGTGCTCCTCTAACCCCACACCCTACTTACCTCAGTGTGTCAATCCCACGAATATTCAAACTCTGGGCCAACATCACCTTTCTTTTTGACATTCACCTCGCTTTCCCATTTTATAGTCATTAGTGTCCATGTGGAATTTTGAGATAAAAATCCAGCACAATGTAGCTAGAATCAAGATTAGAGATTACTTCATCCAACACCTTGACTTCAGGTATAAGAACTAAGACCCAAAGGGACAGAGTGACTTGTTCAAGATCAAGTGGGGATAGAGATGGGACTGACTCCCTGGTCAATGCTATTTAAACTACCCAGATAGTAGCCTCTAAGGTCTTGATGACTTGTGGTTTTTCATTTACCTCAGTAGGTGCAACACCTAGTCTAGTGCATGGTGTGAAGCTGGTGCTAAGTAAATGTAGCAAGTGCTCAATAAATGTGTGTTGAATGAGAGAATGAGACAGGGAGGAGAGAGAAATGCAGCAGTAAGTGGGTGAGGTCAGGAGGAATGAGAGTTAGTGAGGTTCAGAGAGTGTAAGGACAGGATGAAGAGTGGTGGTGCTGTGACACTGCAGACTGAAGTCAAGTGGAAATATGAGTGGATGGGCTGCTGGTCTAGTGAATGCAGGAGCCAGAAGGTTTCAGGGTTGACTCTTTAATCAGGCAGGCATGTAGCAGGGTGGAGGGAGAGGACAGCCTGAAGTCCTGCCGTGCTGAGCTGCTGCTGGCACTGACTCATCTGTCTTTTGTCAAACAGGTGCCCCCCAGCTGAGCCATGAGGATCCACAGCCTCACCCTGCTGTCCTTTCTCCTTCTGGCCACTCGGGTGCTCTTCATGCATGTCCAAAAGGGAGTAAAAATAGGACAGGGAAGTGCACCAGACGTCGATCATTGGGTCATTCTGGGACCCACTGGGCATGGGGCAAAAGAGCAGCCTTCTGAGTTCCTGCAAATTGGTGACTTTACCACCAGTGATCAAGCCAAGTGCAAGTGGGGTATGCTTGGGAAGGGAGAGGGCATCGCTCAGGTAAAGGTCGACTGCACTCAAAACAACAATCAGTTCTCCTGTATCTTTGAGGGCAACCCAACCTCATGCCTTCAGTCTTTGGAGAATAGCATTCACTACTGGAGACAAGTAGTTGGGAGCCTGAGACTCCAGAAAGACCTCTGTAGGGACTCCACTGCCATCTTGACAACCGATGTGTGTGGTAGCAAGTTTGAGGAATCCAAACTCAAGCTGGTGAGCTCCACTCTACTCAACCACTAGAACCCAGTCAGAATGATATGTATCCCACCTGCTGGGAGCAGATTAGGATCAAACTGCACTCCACCAGTGAGTTCATCCTGGCTAACGAGACCACCAGCACAGCGTCAATCAAGAGTGAACTGACCAACCTCAGGGAGCAAATCCTGGTGACAGCGGCCACCCCCACCAGCCCAGCACACACACAGACCAGGATCATCACTAAACACAATTGCAAAGATAAACCTGGTGTCAAAACCTGGCTGAAAATGGCCTAGAAGATGGTGTAACCTTCAGATCAGCAGAGAGAAAACAGATGGATGAGATGTAGTGTGGGGGTCCTGGAGCTCCTTCTGCAATATCATCCTCACTGTATTGCAGAACACATAATGGCAATTAGGTCAAGAGAAGAGGGTCCTTAGGCCAGGTCATGTTGTAAGCCCCTCTGTATGATTTAAAGCCCTCCACATTCCCCAGAATATGTGAGCTTCTGTGCTTGAAATTGCAGTGGGATATTTTAACAGATTTTGTCATTTTTGTGATTGAGTTTTGGGATTTGCTTTATATTCACTTTCTGGGATGTGATGCTCAGAGGCTGTTTACCTCAGTATATGTTTTCATGGCCCACAATGTTATATGCATATGAGCATTGAGAGCTGTTTTTGAGCTGAACAAGCCAAAGTGAGGATTTCAGTGTAATGTACTTCCTTATAAATTAAAAATGATAATAAAATTCTAGGCATTTATCAAAAATTCCTTCACTTTCTATTTTGTTTCTCTATATCTGCTCCCAAATGAAGTCACAAAGGTGTCCCCATGTATGAGTATAAAAAACAAATCTATGGAAAAACTTCCAGTTTCTCACCCTTCCCTTGTCATTCTCTAATGCAACCCATTCCAGAATCCCTCCTCATAGCTTCTTCTATTGAAGTGTGGTGTTTGATGCTTATTGACTGTATAAATTAGGGTCAATGTGTTCAGGTGAAATGCCTGGAGCAAGGTAAGATTAAATCACTTGTCAGAGTCTCATAGATAGTAAGAGGGGAGGCAAGGTTGGACCTCAAGGGTTCTAGCAGCTGAATTCACAGGCTTGAGGAACCCCCTTTATGGACTCAAGTGAAAGCTGCTCATTACCCCCATCATATGCAGGACCCCTGCCCTTGTGGAGCTCATTGTTAAGATCTGGAAGTTTCAGAGTCTGGGAGAGGTCAAGCAGCTGGATTGGGATGGGAGGCAGGGATGAGGCTGCTGACAGTCATTTAGATGTTATATGAAGAATCTGCAAGTATTTTTGTTCGAGAGTTGGAAAGAAAATAAAGTGTTCTCAAAGTCTTGTCACAATTCCATGAAGAGGAGGAAGTGAGGAACAGGAGTTAGTAAAAGCTGGTTCTTTAGCTTCTGTGATGGTGTCAGGGAGAAAGTGCAGATGGTGTGAAAGGACATCCCTTTAAGCTCACTAACCTATCAGGATACACACTGAGGGATGTCCGTGGCCAATCCACAGTTTGACAGCCTCAGAGTGACATCATCAGCATCACAAACCTAATATTTATCTCTCACTTCCTATGTGCCAGGCACTGTGCTAATCTCTTCCCATGGATTATACATTGGTTTATTTATTCACTCACTCACTCATTCATTCAACATACGATATACAGGGCATTGACTCCTGCTAGGCTGTGTTCTCAGTGCTGGAGTAATATTAATTGATGCCCAAGAGATGGATGCTGTGTCTCATGGAACTCACCAGTAGGGAAAGTGATGATAAACCTATGATTGTATAAGAATTAGAGAGGAAAATTAAAGCAAGGCAGGAGAGAAGTGGGGGGGTGGGGGTGGGCAGAAAGTACACACAAAAACACCAATGAGTTTTTGATGCATTGGTTAGGAGAGGCTTCTGGCTTCTCTATGGAGGTTACTTTTGAGCCTAGACCTAAATGAAGGAATTGAGCCAGGTAACTCTATTGTTACATACAACAACATTTCACAAAAAGAGCACTTTCGGAGCAAATGCCTGTAATTATAAGTAATTCATTTCTTCTTTTTTATAAGCTCCTACTATATTGTAAGTTGTCTTCTACAGGCAGGAAATAACAGTGATAAAAAGAGAAAAATATGCCTGTCTTCACAGTACTTACTTTCCGATGACTGGGATCATGCTTGGCATGGTAGATAAATACCAAAGATTGGGGTGTCAGTGTAGGATGGGACCCAGGGTGTCACCTGTGCACCTTACCACTGATCCCAAGAGAACTGAACCAATATCCCAGAACCTCCCCATGGTCCTTCTAGTCACAACAGGGGAAGGACATTTTCCCTTAAGGTCTGCAGTGTCTCAGTCTTGTGGTCCCTACTCAACTAACAATTTAATTCAACATGGCCCTGCAAAACAAAAAGACTGCTTCAAGGCATTATTAAATAATAACACTGCCCTATTCTGTGTTGGAATAAACATTGGAGAATTTGAGGGGGCGCTATTCAACCCATCATCGTCATCACATAGCAGCAACAAATGGCCCAATGTTAGTGAAGAGGACTTGGAAAGGGGCAACTTAGTACTCCATAACTAAATTAAATCAACAAAGTTGGATGGAACACAAAATACAATTTTATTAGGCAGAGGTGAAAAAAAGTGATTCACTCCCCTACAAATGTGCATTTGTCTCTATCTAGGAACATATTTAAAAAACCATCTCTTGTGTACATCTAGCTCCATGATGCCCAATTCAGCTGCATGATGTTGTCATCTGGGGGAACATTTTAAATACTGGTGTCTGGATCCCACCCCCACCCCCAGGTTATGATGCAGTGGGTCAGAAATGAGGACTGAGCTTGTTGATCATTAAATTTCACCCAGTGTTTTGAATGTGGGGCCAGGTTTGAGAAACACTGCTTTAGATTAACTAAATCAGAATCTCTGAGGTGTATTCCAGGCAGCAGTAATTTTGTTTAATTCCTAGGCAATTCTCATGTGCAATATGGGTTGGAAACTTCTAATAAAGACTTTATATGCATTCTGTTCTCTTAAAAAATACGTATTTATCATTTATTATGCCCCATGCATTATTCAAGACACTGGATGATTATGCCAATGAATAAGCTAATAGTCTAGGTCCTCAGTGTGAGGAAAGTGGAGTTGGTTTTGTCAGCCCCCTGGCCTTATTTCAGGCTGGGTGTGATTCAGCACATCCCTTGTTAATAAGTTATATGGTAGTAGAGTTAGTGCGCACATGCGCCAGTGTACCCTTTGGCTTGTTGCTGCTTTTGTGTACTCTTCAATGGAAGGCAGCAGCTCTGAACTGCTAGTCAGCAGAGCTCACATCTAAAAATAAAGCATGTCCACTTTGCCGGCGGCTGCTCAGTTTTTCTTTCGACTGCCTGACTCAGGACCTGCACAGGACAGAGTAGAGGGGTCTGTGATCCAGCCCAACACCGAGACTAGGAACTCAACAAAGTGGTGAAAACGAAGACGACACATTGATCAGTGTATGAGATAACACAGAAGGCTATGGGATGGTGGGGGTCATAGGAGGTTCATTTCAGTCGATTTCCTAAAAAATATGCATCAAGCATCTACTATGACACATTGATCAAATCTGATTATTACAAAGAGTCTGTGCCTTTCACTTGACCCCTAAAACTATCCTCACCACACCGGTATGTGTTAAGTGGTTTTATTCCTGCTTTTATAATAAAGGATTGAATCCTAGAAAGGCGAGTTGTCCAGCAACTCACAGCTAAGAGTTCAGCCAAGGAGGGGAACCTAGGTTTGCCCAGTTCTAAAGTGTGTGGTTTTCAGTAAATGAACATTGAGTGTCAAATAAGTTTGGGCACAGAATATTTTCTACCATACTTCCCAATCAGTAGAGCACTTTAAAAAAAAAAGTAGCAAAAAATACCACCATATAGCTGACAAGTACTTTTAAATGATGACACCCAACTGAATTCCATGCTATTTCAAGTATGGCAGGTGGACCAGAAGAATCCTCATGAGCCGAGGAGCTTTAGAAATGCTCATTCTCAGGGCCCACTCAACCTCAAATGTACAGTGTCTCTGGGGTAAGGCCTAGGAATGTGTATTTTAACTACCTCCCATGTCTCCTGTGAACAGTAAGATTGGCCACAACAGTCACTGGCCAATGACACTTTATTCATCCTAAAGGGAAAGGCTCTGACCCTTTTATTAAAAAGTTTTTTTCCCCCCAAGAAATGTGGCTAAGCCAGATTGAAAACTACAGTCTGCTGGGCTAAGCATTTTGTGCTTAATCAACAGGCCCAAATCACTAGCCCACCTCCACTCTAATGCCCATCTCCACTCCCATTTTTCTTGTGTACAGAGCTCCTGTACTGACTTGTGCCTTTCCTGAGACACTGCCACTGTTCCCCTAGGCCAGATTCTGTGTCTTCCACCAAATCTCTCTTTTCTCTTGCATGAGTATTTATTCCATTGCTCCATCCACGCATAAGATCTCAAACACTCTGCACAAAGCCCATGTTTTAAGTTCCTTTGGCTCTCTACTGTTCATTAGAAGCAGTGCATATGGACTGATGTTGCCAGCAAGACCTTAGTTCAAATGTTACTCTTCCTTGAGCAAGTAACGCATGGTCCCTCAGACTTGTGTTCCCATTAGTAACATGGGGATAAGGTTGGCTGTCTTATTGGGTGAAAGGGATGATCAGCAGGAGGCCTGTCTCAGAGAAAGACCCAATAAATCAGAGCCAACAGTACTTGCCTGTATCAGGCTTCTAATAAATAGCACATCAAGTTACTCTGTGAGGCAGTGAACTCATTGTCAGAGGGAGGGTTCAAGCAAGGACTGACTCACTCTTTCATGAAATGTCATAAAGTTGTGTTTCCATTAATTCAAAAGGAAAACTGAAGCAGAAGATGGCAGAATAGGAATCACCTAAAATCTGTGTGTTCTCACCTAGATAACAATTGCACTGGCAGAATCTGTTTGCTGTGACTGTTTAAAAGTCTGGAGTCTGTTGAAGACTTGCAAGGTCCAGGAATGCTTGGAATG